TCTCTTTATCTCTGATTGAAACTACAGGTTAATGGTAACTGAAATAAGAATCATAAGTTTGAGACTTGATATCGTCTAAATATTTGGAAACTACCGCGTCCCATATTTTGTTGTGGATTCTTGTGGATCATTATTCTATTCAAATACAATTTTTCCGAAAGAAAAGTTGTCAACCGCTCTGATTTTTTATCAGTGAAGTTGATATTGAAATCTTTAGCCAAGATAAGTGGAAATTGATTACCACTGATAATTCGATTGAAATAACTAATTTCAATTGTATTTTTCAATTCAAACGAGATACTGTTCCAAAAGGTGGAATAGCTATTTACCAAAATAATAATATTGTGAGTAATATTATGACTCCGAGTACTGAATAATTTAGTTTAATTAATAAAATTTTTATTAAATTCCATATTTTTATTTGCCATTTAAAAAATTCTATCTGGAATATTATTTTTTTGAATCACCCTGCTTTTTAATTGATTTGTTCCGCTTAAAATATGCGAAAATGTGATATGCCTAATAGTATGCGATATTCCCAAAAGTATGCAAACATTTTGCGCATATTTTGTGATCGTGTTAGGTTTATTTCCGTAACGAAATTTCTTGATTCAATCAACGCGCTCAAAGACCGCGATAGAAGATTCTTCAAGCCGTTCCCACGACAGTCGGGTCTACGTAACCGGAACGGACTCGGATTTTATCCGGTCAAGGACTGTCAACTAAGTAAATTCTGCCGCTACGATAACAACAACAACCGCGATAGAAGCTATGAAATCGCTTAAAAACAAAAAGAAAGATTATGCCCCAAATACAGGAACCATTATCAGTAATATACAATAAATTATCTTTCAGTATTTCCTTTCTCTGAAAAAACGCGGTGTTGGATAGGTTATTTGTTTAAACCGCGGCCGAAGGCCGTCAACGCAAAAAGTACTTCTACGCAAAAGAAATGGGGACACCCCGGTGTTGGACCGTCCAGGTTTATTTTTTATTGCCACATCAGAAAATGGAGTTCTACGCGAAAGAACGGAAACCTCCCGGTGTTAGATCAACTAGGGTTGTTTTTTTGAAACGCAGCCAAATGACCCAACGCAGAAGGGAATTCCACGCGAAAAACTTTTAATGTGTTATTTATTTTATGCCATTGGAGAATTATCTGTTTTCATTTCTTTTGTTTCCTTTGTAAAATATGTCGGTAACACGTTTTATTTGTTAGTATGCAACACTTTTGTTATTGTGTGAACAAATAGATCTGAACAAAAATTTAAATATTGAATTAAAGCTATTTTTGCACTATATAATATAAATAAATCTATAGAAAATAATTATTGAAGTGTTAGTGGATATAGAAGTAAAAATATAAGTGTAAAATTCGTTATAGATCAAAAAAAGACGTACTTTTGAAATTTTCAACATTAAACGCAAATATCTCGAAAACTATAACTTTATATCTATATATATTCTTGATTCCCGAAATCCTGGGATGGTATTCTAAAGTTTTCCTCCTGCACTATTATTCAATATGAAATAAATGTGTAGAGACAATCATGTAAGTGAATTGTTTGTAGATATACAAGTGTAAAATTTATTATAAATCGAAAAAATACATACTTTAAATTGTTTGATTTTTCAACTTTATATGCAAATGTATCACAAAATTTAAGTTTTCCCCGGCTATATCTATAGATATTCTTGATCTGGAGAACCTCCTTTATCCGCCCATACCCATTTTCCCCGAAATCCTGGGACGGTATTCAAAACCCACGTAATCGATATGTTACTCAACATTGTAGAAGTTATGAACTTTATTAGCAAATATCTTAAGAACTTTCAAATCAGCAGCAGCTACAATGAATTTTTCATATGGTCATATTTATTTATTTTATACACAGTGCCTCACAAAAGTATTCGGAAATAATATTTTTTTTGGTAAGAAGCACCGAAAAAAGACCGGATAAAAATTATGTAAAATGACCGACATTTTGTTTTTGTTTGTGAAAAAATCGATAAATTGTGTTAAATATAGGAAGAAAATCAAAAGAAACCACATCCGAAAGAAGAAAAATAATATTCGAAATTTACCAATAGAAGCGTTTCAGCCATCCACAGACTTTTGCAGAGGAGTTTGCTGAAGTTAAGGCAGCGGTTTGGACGGCCGGAAAAAAAAGGAACATAACGAGCTCCTCTCCAAGCAGTTTCTGCTGGGATGTTTTCGCAGAAACCACCCCTGCAGACGCCTGCTTGCAGCGGAGCAGCCTCCTAGGAACATCAAGAGGTCCTTCCTTGACTACGTCGACGACATCAGACAGCACGCCGACCAGACTTCCGACGCAACTAACTTCAGACAAGCACTGACCGCCATTCACAGTGGAGCCATTAACACCTTCACCGACTCCCTTTCAGTGAATGGCGTAATACGAGTCAAACCACCACCCATTGCAGACACAGAGCTCGAGTTGCCTCGCGAATCTAGAGTGACCCTCGCGCAACTTCGTTCTGGATACTGTAGCAGGTTAAACTCCTACCTATCCAGAATAGACCCTGACATACCAAACACATGTCCTGCATGCAATGAGTCTCCGCATGACACTAACCACCTCTTTGCATGCCCAACGAACCCCACTCATCTAACACCCCTCTCCCTATGGTCCGACCCCGTCGAAACAGCTCGTTTCCTGGGCCTTCCGTTAGATGACCTCGACGACAACGAATCTAGAATTTATCACCCAAACGGGGATTAGATAATCGTTATAACAACAACAACAACAACGGCCGGAAAAACTTCAATGTCGTGACAAAATCGTTATCGTGAGAAAAATTTTAATAATCTACGAAATTAATTCAAGCCCAGTTTAGAATACTAGAATACGTGTCTGCGATGAAACTGTAGGCAGGACGCTTAGAGCTGCTGGCTATTATGAGCGAACTCTACGAACAAAGCAAACAAAGTGAAAAAAAGAAAGGAGCGTTTGGTTTTAGTGACGAAACGAACTTGAACATATTTGGACCTGATTGTGGCAACAAAGTTTGGCGAAAAGTGAATTTCGATATGCAAAGGAAAAACACAATAGCTTCGGTTAAGCACGGGGGTGGAAATATACTGGGCTGAATATGTGCAAACGATGTCGGAGACATGATGTTTATTACTAATAAAATAGATCACCGGCAATATATTCATATACACTCGCCAGAAAAAGTCTGCGTACACGCTATCTTGTTTTCTTTTGTTAGAAAAAAATTTTTATATACTAAAATTTAGATTATAATCACATTAAGAGCTTTATTACTAGTCTTTTGCATTATCCCATAGCATTTAAAGCAATTAAAATCTGACACCATAGTTTTATATATTAAAAAAAAAATAGTTATAAGGCATCGCAGAAAGTCTGCTGTGTAGTAAAATTGGAGTTCCCTACGTAATAACCAAATGTAAAAGTGTCGGAAAGTTATAGTTTTACCTGTTTTCGTAAAAGCAGCCAATATTTATTAACTGTTCTATTCATTTTATTAAATTTAGAATATCGAATCTCGCCTAAAAGTAAAGAAATAAGCCCCTCTGGAATGGAAATAATGGTAAAACTTTCCGAAGAAAGAAAAACATGGCCTGAAATCGATCGTATTGTTGGAAGAACACATGCTTTTGTACAAAGAGTAATAAAAAATTACAAACAAACCGAAGTTTTTCTACCTCGGCGCGTCCAGGGCGGCAAAAATACTAGCACAGTGCGAAACTCGTAACGTTTTAAAAAGTGTGACAAAACCTTCGATTTACTGCATCCAAAATCGCTCAAAATGTTAAGAAAAATTTTAAGAAATCCCTCTGACACCATTTGCATAATTAAAAAAAAAAACAGGTTTTATGGTCAAGTCGCACACAAGAACTGTTGTTGTCGTTGTTGTAACGGTTATCTAGTCCCCGCTTGGGTGGTAAGTTATAGTTTGGTTGTCGTCGAGGTCATCTAACGGGAGGCCCAGGAAACAAGCTGTTTCGGTCGGACCATAGGGAAATCGCGGTTAGATGAGAGGAGCTCGTTATGTTCCTTAACCGGAAGCATAAGGGTCTCACTATGTAGATGTTCAATTGGGGACATCAAGAGGCAACCCGTGATAGTCCGGAGTGCAGTGTTTTGACATGTCTGGAGCTTCTTCGTCTGCGTTGCACTACATCCAGGCGACCATATTGGTGCAGCGTAGTTTAAGACCGGCCGCCGATTGCCTTGTAAACTGCCAACAACATTTCTTTGTCTTTTCCGCAAGAGCTGCCGGTAAGCGATTTGAGGATTTTGTTGCGGCTCTATACTTTGGCAGTTATCGCGGTCGTGTGAGGAGTGAAGGAGCACAGACTGTCAAATGGAACACCTAGAATAGCCTACGACTGTAATGTTGAGATCCAGTCTGTACTGTGTCGTCCAGTTTGTGAAAATGGTCGCTGTGGATTTAGTGGGGGAGAGTGTTAGACTCCTTGCAGAAAAGAAGCGAGAAAGGTCGGAGAGATAGCTGTTTACTTTCGAACAGATGCCATCGATTTGTTATTGTTCATATTACGAAAATTGTGTAAAAATAAAATTCTTATTTAAAGCAAATACTTAAATATTTAATATAAAATAAATATGTAGAAACATTGTAGTGAAGTGTTAGTGTGTAATAAGTCCATAATATAAAAGAAAAGATAACCATAAATCGAGAAATTGTTAAATGAAATTTGTGAAATTTTCAACTTAAAATGCAAATATCTCGAAAACTATAAGTTTCCGTTATATATATTCGTGATCTGGAGAATCTCCTCTATCCAACCATACCCCTCTTAACCCTAAAATCGTGGGATGCTAAACTAAAGTTTTCCCAGGAAAACCCTTAGCGGAAGTTTTAAAGGGTTGGGAATATACGATTTTTTTTTAAAACTACATGTTAAACGTCTTTTAATGAACATCAATAAAATTGGTTTTTAAAAAAAGTATATAAACTTATTTTTTCTAACAAGTTATTTTCGTTGGTACCTTATACGCAGACTTTTTCTGCCCAGTGTAGCTCACAATACAAAGCTGTGGCAATTGTACAACATCTCAAAAGTTTTAGGAACGCCCCCACAGCCCCCGGATCCTAATCCAATTGAGCACTCATGGGCGAATGTGGAACGTGCTATCCGCAAACACAACATAACATCCAAAACCGGCCTTCAAGAAGCAATTCTCAAAGAATGGGAAGAAATCTCTGCGGAGGGAATAAAAAAAATTAGTTTTTAACTACCAGATATAAATTAATAGTAAAATTAAATTTAGTTTATATATACAAGTTTTTACGATTACTTTTGTGTTATGAATTTACCGAATTTTTAAGTTGAAGGTTTTTACATATGTTCTTTTAAAACTAACACTTAATTTTGAGTTTAAATAAAAGTTTAAAACTGCAATACAGTAATTTATATTTAAATAATAATAAAATCTTTGTAAGAATGGAAAGCAATTTCTTTCTTGATGGCAATTTTCCGAATACTTTTGTGAGGTACTGTATATACACATATTCGCAATTTGGAAACCCTTCTCTATGGGCTCAAACCTCTTTCAATCCCGAATTCGAAGGATGCTTTCTAAATCCCAGCCATATATTTTTCTGTACCGCGTAAATGAAACATTTAAGAAATTGAGAAACTGATATGAAAGGGAATGTAGAAAATTGTCGAGAAGGTCGAATCGCGCATGTGAACGCAATGGGCAACACCAAAGCGAATTTCCCGATAAGAAACTAACGCTTCGGTGTACAAAAGCAGACAGCATATATTATTAATTGAAATAACTGTAAAACCTAATTATTTAAAAACTTTGTTACCTAGTCGTTTGGTCTTCACTTTTGAGATTTGTAAAACCCCTCTGTGCATTCTATAAAATTTTAAATTAAAAAAAAAACATAACTTTGCAACTGCAATATGCACACATAAAAACTTCTATCTTTCGTTATTGGTGCATACCGACGTTGTAGCAGTCATTACTAAATAATATTATTCAATACTTCTTGCTGTAATTTCTGTTGCCTTTGATTGCATCATCGACCGTGGCTATAACGTAAACTGCTGCGAAGTGGCAGTGACAACAAAACATAATGCCTTTAAGTACTTAGTATGTATCTGTACGCAAAAAAGTAGGTATACAATATACCGATACGCTTAAACGATTGTATGTATATGTGTATGACTGTGCCAGACAGAAGAACTCTTTGGTAATTATCGCCGCATTTTAGTATAACATATCACAGTTAGCAGTAAAGCCAACTCGAATATGTTGTTAATAAACCACAATCATCTTATTGCTAAACTTATGTATGACAACTCTTCATTAATTAAATAAGCACTGTGCATTAAAAGAATATTGCTGCACTCATTTTACAGCAGCACACTGATTAAACCTCATACCTATTGAAAGCAAACAATCATATATTTGCTTAGTTAAAAAAAAATCGTTAAAAGTAAATTAAATGATAAGAAGAAACACTTACAGTAAATTTTTTCGTCATTGTATTCATCGAAACAAAAATATTTCTATTGGCCATTGGCAACAAAACTTCACTCAAATACGTGGCCATTTTTTGCCACAGTTCAAAATTAATTCGCCGCAACTAACAAATAAAACATTTTGAAAGATCTTAAAGGAGAATAGGAAAAAAAACAAAAAAAAAATTGATATTCTGAGATATAAATTGAATTGTATTGCAATTACAATTAAACTTACTTCCAACCAGAACTATATTAAATATTTGTATATTATATCGCCGTTCTTTTGCTTTTACTGCTCCTTTCAGTTTTGTGGTATTTCGAGCGTTGTCTCCTATCCCACTCGTGCATTCATATACAAAACGCTATCGCATTCACTTAACCAGTATACATAAACCCTTTTGGATTGCCTTTTTGTGATACATCTTATTGTCTATTCTTTGCTTTTTATGTACACACCTTTCTTGAACAAATGATTTTTACATATAAATACATAATATTTTCTTTATTACTATGATAATCTTCGAAATACAGAGATCCACTTTCTTCAGACACTAAACATTTCACTAATTTACTTCCACTTGTATCTTTGCCTAAACAAAATTTTTTCGAATCAAATTATATTCAACACACACTAAATGTACCCTTCTTGATTTCACATTTATTCGAAACAACCCACTGCAGCTTGCCGTTGTAAATATTTCAAAAACGTATATATTTAACTAGTACCATTGTTAGTTTTATTGAATTAAGAGGTTGATAAATATATTTGAGAATGTTACAAATTAAACTAGCAGCATAAACGCCAACGCCAATTCAATATACATTCACTCAAAAAAAAGAACCGTTCAAGCTGGTTTCACAATTACAACTGATCATAAATTATAAACATATAATACGGTAGCCCAGACCGAAACAATGATGAAAAATATATAAAATTTTCGCATTATTCATACATGCCCTTATGATATATTTAACTTTTCCTCTAATAATTATTTACACATTTTTATTAAAACCTACAAATTTTAAAACTTTAGATTTTAAACTAAAATTTAGGAAAAACGGATGCACCCATATACTAATCTAAGAACTAGAAAATATTAAATGTGGCAACATTGATTACTCTGTTCATAAATGGGCATCTCGACAGGCAATTACAGATTACTAAATATACGAATTGCTAGCAATATTGCCAATAGAGACTGCACATTGCTTATGTATAGTAATTGATGTCTGTATACATTTTATGCCTACCATTGCTAGCAATGAACTACTGTCATTTTGGTGGTCTGACTGAGCTGTTTTCATGTGCACACATATGTTGATGAGGCAATATGTACATGTTGTTGTTGTTTTAGCGGCAAAATTCTGCCGAGTTGACAGTCCTTGACTGGATAAAATCCGGGTTCGTTCCGAGTACGGAGATCCGACTGTCTTGGGAACGGTAACATGTACATGTAGTGCTTCGGTTGCATGATGCCAGCAAAGAGAGCATGCCAATGTTTAATGTTTCGTTGCCTAAACTGCAATTTACAATATTCAAAACATCAATTTTAACATAACATGGAATATAGTAATCAAACAAATACATATGTATTAATATGAATGGTTAATTGGTATTTTTCTGATGATTGTGAGCATGTGTCAATTTCATTGCTCTTATATAATTATTGAATTGGTAAAAAAAACTTTAAACAACAATTATTTAAGTGTAAATATGAAATCTTAATTCTCCAACAATACATATGAAAAAAAAGTAGATTTCTAATTTTTTCAATTTCACTTCTCATCATCCTCATAAAATTTGTAACGGTTCAAAAGCTCAAACATGACTTAAATCAGCTCGAACATGCCTACCCGACATTGTATAAATCTACAAAAAACCAATCCTAAGATTTTCACTAATACACGCGCAAAAATAACCCACTTTGTACGGGTTTCCTCTAAAATTCTACTACAAAAATTATACTTGGTACGGGTTGCCAACCACTATTCTCTACTAAAACGTCCAAATGACAGAAATCTGCTATAGTGTGTATTCGTGTTATAATTTAAAATTTATAACTTTAAGAATGTTTTTATTCCATATTCAAATATTTTTCGGTTGTTTTAATTCCTAAAGATTAAGTTTACATAGTATTATTTATGTATTAATATTAGTATTGAAATATTATTAAATGTTTCCAATTTTATCATTTTAACTTACATGTTTATGTTTTTGCGTGTGAAAATTCTTTGTCTGTTGAACATTTAAATTCTTAGTGTACCGGTTTAGTCCTGGGGAACCGAGCACTCAAAAAAGATCGGTAACGCGCCTATATTGCATCCTCAGAGGTGGTGAGGAAAAGCAATATATATATAATAATCTTTTGTTTCTAAAATATTCTTGAAAGTTTTCATTATTATTTTCATTACAAATATATCTTCAAAAATAAATTGTTAAACTACATCCTTTTATTTAAAACTCTGTGTCAAAAAAAGGCATATTCGATCAGGTGATCACGGCTGTTTCACACACATAGAAAAACAGCTGATTCTTTGGCTCCTTGTAAGCTTATAACAGGGATATTGGGATATCCAACTCTTTCCAGTGTGAGAGCGCCTCAAAATTAGCGTTTTTTATAACATTTTGCTATGTAGCCAGATCAGTCAAAATAATAATTTTTGGGCATTTAAATTAATATACCCAACATTTATTTAGTTAAAATATTAATATACATGTATCCGTTAAACATATGCAGAAACTATTTTAACTATTTTTGTGATTTTGTTATATATTACAATTTTTGATTTTTGAACGTTCAATATTTAATCAAAAGAATAAACGTATTAGCTCTCAATTAATAAATGTTTTTTATAATTTTCAATTGAAAATCAATAGTACTAAGCATGGTATCACAAAAGATTTCATCACATACATTTCTATTTCGCGTTTTCTTTCATTTTCATTGTTTTCCAATATTTGTTAGTGATCTTTAACAGCGACAACAAATCTCTTTTTTTGCATATTTTTCTGTAGGGTTTCAGTCTGGCCGTCCCTCTTTTTACAATTGCTAAACGTCAGACCTCCTGAACTTTGACAGTTGCTTGAGTTCAGGAGGTTTTGACGTTTAGCAATTGCGCTCTTATTTCCAATGAAAGACGAGTTGCTCATCTCTTTATCTCTGCTTATACAATGCTACCCGACGTCATTTCGAGAATGAATATTTCATGATAGCAAATGCCCACATTAGAACATTGCCAACTTCAATGGCAATGTATTTGACAGCTGGGTAGCAATGTAGATGCGGAGTAACCAGATATCTCTGTAGGCATTTTAATATTTCTAAAAATTTGTATTGGTAGCAATACTGCCAATAAAGACTGTTTTCCATTCCATACCAGCTTCATTGTATAAAACTACAAGTAACCAATCCTAAGATTTTCACTAATACAAACGCAAAAATGTCCCACTTGGTACGGGTTGCCTGAAATATTCTACTACTTAAGTCACACAAAGTAGGATTATACAAAGTGCTTAGCAAAAGATGTCAAATATGTATCTGTAGATCCATTGCTAGCAATTAACAGTCATTTTGGTGGTTTGCCAGAGCTGTTTTTACTTCTACAGAAGAATTGGAATGCCAACATGTGCATACATACCTTCCAAGTCAGAGATAATAGTTCACAACAGTCATCGACACAAAACCGTGGACGGAATCAGCTGATACAACCTATCTTATGAGAGCGCAATGTAAATGAACATTCCATATATTGTAGTAATTAAAAAATAAACTTGAATATATTTAAAATATTCTTAAAATAACTCAAAAACACAGTCGAATTACAAGAATACATTTATTTAAAAATAGATAGAGTATTTTTAATGGTTGGATATTAGTTTCGAGCTTTTACATAATGAAAAATTATAAATAAAGAACCAAATATGTGAAAAATCGTGTTTACAAATAGAAATATGGCAACATTGGTTAAATGAAAACAAAAGAGATCAACAGATTTCTCCGTTGCAACTATGATCATAACTTTCAACAAATTTTGTTTGATTCGGTCGGTAAGTACGAATGTAGGTGACTATTTGAGCTATAACTCATATCACAACCCAATCACACTTTTCCAGCTGTTCTCAATACATTTACATTTACCGCGTTAACATGGGGACTCTTTTGCCGCTCATTATCGGCAAATTCTCTTTTGGTGTCGCTCTGTGGGTTCGCAGCAGCAAAATTAGTCCAGCAACTCGAATCGAGCTTTTTTGTCACTCTTTTTCATAAATTTTCGTAAATGTTTGTATGGTTCGGATATGTGACACTTAGAGTATGTTGCATATATCATTTGTATGTTGGGATGATAGTTTCACATTTTGCTTGCAAGGAATTATCATGATGTGGAAGAACAATATGCATAATAAATGCTTAATAGTTTCAAAGAAAAACTTAACTTAAACTCGGTAATTCCCTAATCCACCAGAATGTATTGAATACCCGCTGCGATTATTTACAAGGCCAAATTTATAACAAGAATTTCCTAATCTTTCGGGAAGTATTACAAACCCATAAATTTTTTACTCCATATATATTTATATTTTTTATAAAACATTCATGTATTAATTACAATTCTTGTTTTAAATACAATGGTGTTTGAACTAAATCCCTTGTGGATAATAGAAATACATATAAAAGCAGCTTAATATTTTATGTATATATAGAAAGTTAGGTTAAGATTTTTATTAGAATGAATTTATGTATATAATAATATATATAATACCGCTACATGTTATTGAAAAATTAAATAAAAAAACAAATTAAACTAAATATTTTAGAGTTTTCAATTTTCTCCTTATACAAAATTCTTCAAAAGATTACGAAATTCAAATTCCTTCCATATCGTATATATCCATTTGAAACCGAGCGCTATTGCAGTCATGAATTGAACTAGAAAATGAAAAGAAATGCTGAACTGAAAAGCAGCGAACTGTTACGAACAAGAACATAGAGTGTGCCACCCTCAGTCAGTCGTCTTTCCTCGTCGTCCCCGTGACAAAAGAGTCCGTGTGTGAACTGGGATATTCATTTTCATTACTAATGTGGCGAACACGAATACCAGAACAAATCAGAATCGACGATGGCATATACAATGATGAACTGGCAGAAGCACCTAGACAGCGAATTCGTAGTTGTCAGAATGTTCTAGCAGAGAACGTATATCATAGAGAAGGTTCATGGTGTGCCGATTGTCAAAATGTTCCTCTTGACGGAGGGTTACTCGCCAACATTAGTGCATTTCACCACAAACAAATTATAAGCTGATTTCACCAGAATTTTACCCCTGTGGAGCGCAAAATAGCAGAATTGAGCATTTTGAATGTTAAATGAGAAAAATAATGCTAAATTCAATGTTAAGAAATGTGCGCTTACAGATTCGTATATTTACAATGAGCAAACGAATTTACATATAATTTTAAGATATTCTGCATATACAGGGCGGCTCACGAATCGTGCTACAAAAATAAACCGTAATAAGTTTCTTTTTAATCAATGCATTACATTAATTTTTTTTGTATTGTGTAGAAAATTTTAATCTTATTTTATACAATTCATTATTCCTCCATGCTCAGCCACGCATATGCGACAAATAATTAGAAAATTGATGCGGACTGAAGGGTTGAAGGCGGGATTGCCACATATATGTATTTTATGGACTGCTTCAGTTCAGTCAGACTTCTGGCTTTGATTTTGTTCACCTCTTGCTTGACATAACCCGATAAGAAAAGACTAAGCGGTCGCAAATTTTCTTATACATATAATATAATATATATATGTATTATTATGTGCGCGTGTTAACAAATATGAAAGTACCCATTATAAATGTTAATTTGTCTACATCCAACATATGTACAGAAATATGTACAATCATTGTTTCATGGGAAATCAGAACCATACACACTT